CACTTAAGACAGTATGTGGGCTACTATGTGTCAGGAAGTGTAATCAAATTATTGAATTCCATCTTTAGTTACCCATCAGGTATTCCAGTTACCATAATCCCAAATAAAGGTCTCCTGCCTTTTTTAAAAATAAAACTCCACGTGAAGTATTCTTTTTCATCCCCTTTAGTTCTACAACTAACAACATAGAATAATGTCAGAAAGCTAGGAATTCTCAGTCTAAGAGCAGTTAACAATCACCAAAGGCTCTTAATACAACTGTATATATTGTCCCACCCAGGATAGGGCTGATCCAATTCTAGCAATCCACATGAGAGTTTGCATCAGACTTGAACAACAAACCTAACCCTTTAAATCAGAAATACATTGTTCTTACATAGAATTTATTTCTTGCATTTTATTCTATATTACTACATGCTACTTACTGAAAAGTAAACTTCAAGTAGGAACATCCAGCAGACTTCTAGGCAGGATTACTTTACATAGGCCTGTTACATACTCAAAACTTCTAATATTCTACTTAACCTTTTACCTCATTAAAAGATTGATGGGTTTACATTTTAGGCAATTTAAGAACAGATAATAAGTTAATCTAGGACTAGTAACTGCTACATACAGACTTCTAGAAGATCAACGTGATAGCAGTTGGCTAGATCCTTCTGTAGCCTGTGCGCACATGACAGAGGATTTACACAAAAATAGTACATGGCTTAGCAGCAGAATCTCAATGTGACCCATTTCAGATTAACTTTCCCTATTGGTTATTCTCGGAAGGAGCTGGAGATCTTCAGGTTTTCTTCAGCAATATGAGCGTGGCTAAGCACAGAAACCAAGGCTTTGGTGCCAGAATTTGGTGTTACTACTTATTACTAGGGGAGTTTTAGATGAATGGAAGAGGTGAAGCACCATTTTCTCCACCTTTCATCTCCAATATCTTCGGTGCTGTGGTCAAGTTGGCCTGGTATGACCAGGCCACCAAAACACAGTATAGATGTGGTAATAAATACTTTCAAACTTCATGTTTATTCCACTTCCTCTGCAACTGAGCACCTAACATGAAATGGCAGTTGACACTTCCCCCATTCTACCCCCTGATAAAAGGAGAGCATCAGTATTTCTGAAGTCTGAGTGCCAAGAACAGATTCAGACAGGAATGAAGTTGCCCTTTCAATCCAGTGTTTACTACGTCTACAGTGATTAGTTAGTGGCACACGTGTCAGTGCAGAGGTCAGATATAATGAACCAAGGCTGTAAAATGCTTAATATGTTAGCATTTAATATATTAGATGTCATCTTAAGCATCCGAAAGACTTTGACCCTTCCTTTTCAGTGCAGATAAGGTAGTACCATATTTCAGAATGATTTCTTAGCCAGTTCTAGACTTCGCCACCCATGAGACATGAATTCATAGGAAAAAAGCCCCACAGACTTACACTGATTTACTGCACTGAAAAAATTAGTCAAAACTGCAGCAGAGTAGCTACAGGAACAGCTGAAAGATCATCTTTAGGTTACAGAGACAAGCACTTGAAAATTAGGAAAAAAAAAAAAAAAAATCAGGCGTAGAGACTGGATATGCCACTTGCATATGTATCCTGTGTAGTGGGGTATCCTGCATTCCCACAAAAGACAGAAATATACGTATGAAAATAACTGACTGAACTGCTTTTACCAGCTAAAAAGTACTGCACCTTGCATATGCTAAGTTTATTCCTCTCTGTTTCAGTGAATTCCTCTAACAATCCCTTGTGCCAGTAAACTACTATATTTAGTTCCTCCACCTTGAGGTTCTCTCTGGGGATTTGAAGAAGGGGTTAATTTGATTTTCCCTCTTCTCTCAGAAATCCAGATGCAAGAGAGACTCCTTTGGAGAAAGAAATGTTTTGAGTTGCTAATACACTTTTCAACTGCACTGGGAAAAGAGAAGATTAAGACAAGTGGTGGAATGGAAAAGACAGCATGTTACTACAGCAGATACGAATACAGCCTGCAGGGTCTTTGACTCACAGTAAGTTGGGCAAATAAAGGTGCAGGCACTACTTTATATGTCAGAAGCATCACAAAACCCCACCTCTATCTCTTGGAGGGAGCTAGTCAGACAATCCAATATATACTGCTACCCATGTTGGGGGAGACAAGGGAAGAGAAGAAAGAGGTATCAGATAAAGCCTTCGAAAAGCAGTATTGCACAAGACTTGATTTTTTTTTTTTTTGATCAGCTAAAGAAAGCAAGATACTGAGAGAATGAATGGGTCTGTCACTGTCTGAGGTTGCCTGTACTTGACCCTGCAACACCCCAACCATAGATCACTGCTGGAAGGACACTTCTGACTACTTCTGGTGCTGAAGCTCTCTTATGTAGTCAAGAAACACTAACCCACCAAAAAAGCTTAAGCAAATGAAGTGGCTTAAAACAACAGGGCATTACATCCTTAATGGCACTAGACTATTCTATCAATGAATGCAGCTTAGCAATAATATATTTTCCGTATCTCAAGATCGCGTTAAAATACAGCTGCTTATTAAGTAGCTACACGCAATGAGCCAGGTTAGTTATCTATCGCAAAGTTATGCTGTGTTATTTCAAAAGGTGTGTTGTAACTGTGTTAAGCACTTTCTTAACCATGGTTCATACAGGCATTGAACCTTAAGTAGAACAGTATTTGTATAGCACCTTGAAGTGTTTGTCCTCTCTAGATCTTAAGAATTAATCTTTTTATAAAAACCATTCATGGCAGTGAGTTCTTTTAAGTCTCTGCATAAGTAAATACATTTTTTTGTAACACTGTGGCACTAATATAAATATCAGCCATTCCAACCATTGTATCACAGAATGAATAGGGTAAGAGGATGCTTAGCACATAATAGAGGAAAGAGCCGAACTATGAGGTATAAAACCAAAGTACCTTCTTAAAAAAAACACACCTGTACTCAGAAATTGTGCATCATCTAATAAAAATGCTGCGTGTCTTAATATGACTACTTTAAAGACACCTATATATCTGTAAGTATTAATCTTAGGGTTCTTTAAATTACCAGTCACTATTGCAGTGGTGTTTTAAGTCTTAAGTTGCAGCTGTACAAAATCTACACACTGTCCGTAACTGTGTAAGTACTGCTTGCACAAAGGAACTCAGATTTTGTAAAAATCTAGCGTATACCAGTCACAGCCTGTTCCTTGCGATTCATGCCAAAACCAAACTGAAATGCTGACTACATTTCCAATATGTTGTCAGTCAGCAAAGTACTGAATATTTAATAATTTAATTATTAGAGGCCATGCATTGCCCTCTAATAGCTGAAAAAAATCATTATGCTGACAAATGCTAGGTCTGCAAGAACACAAGCAATATTAAAAAAAAAAAAAAAGACATTTCAAAAAAAGGTTTTTCCACCAAGTAACACAAAGATGAGCAGTTTTGAAAGGGTGGTTATGATCTCCTCCTTCTCCCCCTGTTCCCCCCGCCCCAGAAAATACAGAACAATATATCCACTATGTCCTGTATTTAGATACTATTTAAGTGCTTGTTTTTGCTGGGGTTTTTGTTTTGTTTTGAATTAAAATAGACTTTAACTCCCTTTACTTAAGTGCTTGTTTTTGCTGGGGTTTTTGTTTTGAATTAAAATAGACTTTAGCTCCCTTTAGCACAGCTCAGTTTAGTGGCAGTACATATCCTCAGATTTTACTTAAATCTCTCTCCTGCACTTATCGGCATTTAACATTTTCATATAATAATTTAAATTATTAATTCATTCATCATATAATTTCATGTCACTTTACCTGGCAAGATCAGAAGAGTTTAGCAATAAAATAACTAAAGTTACTTTTCTGTACAAAAAGAAAAATACCGGTCATTTGTCATTAAACAAGTCCAACACGGAGTTTAATGGCACAAAGCTTCCAGTAATCAGACAAATCGTTCTTACTATGATCAAGCCTATGCAGGTTCTCAAATTCTCAAAGTAGCAGAAGGGGTTAAAGATTGTTCAGTATTTTTCTTTAAAGTGTCCATCAGATGTCAAAAAATTCAGATCTCAACTTATGTGCTATTATGCTGCAGGTCTAGGTGCTTTAAGACTTGGATCCCTTAAATACTTACCTCTATCTCCTGCAATTGCTCTTGATTTGTTGCATACATTTGCTGTAAAGATTCTTCTAGTTCAGTGTTACGGTCCAGTAGTGTCTTCCCAAGCTCAGCAGCAAGGTGAAGATCTAAACAAGAAATCATGTTTGCCCGTAAGTTAGAGCCAATAATATAATCTGGTTTTAAAGCATTTTAATAAAATACTTGAGGTGGGTTTTCATTGCTGTTATAACTAGTTTAAGTTATTTCCAGTACCCAAGAAGAAAGTTAGATTATACTTAAGTAGAACATTCATATACTATCTATAATGCAAGTCTAAGTCAGTCCTGAAACCTAGAAGATACTCTTGTTCCATGAAGCTTCCTTAGTTCCTTTGGTCCTTCAGCCACAGGTCAGACATATCCAGCCACCTTCACTTCCCACCATCTGCCTAGTACTGCACCAACATCTCTACCCAAGGTACCTGTTAGCTACACTTCACCATGTTTACAGCACTCATATTTTAGTAGAATAAGCATAAAAGACCCTGTAAATGTTCATCAGGCTAGACCAAGGCCAAAGCTGACTGCACTCTTACTTTGCTGTTCTTGCCCATTACCCCTTTACCAAGGAGCTCAGGTCATACAGGATCAAAGTGCTAAATTAAAGTTTCAGATGCTTTTTATGGTGAAACAATAATATCAAAAGACATAAAACTGATAAAGAAATGTAGCTGTTCTGCTTTTCAAGCTCATAAACCTAGGAGACAAAATTGTTTTATGTGCTCCAAAACATCATTTTAAATGTCGTTTGTGCTCGGGCACTTAATCTCAATTTCACTTCAGTCATCTTCAATCACCTCCAGGGTGCAATGACTGTAGTTGTTTCAAATTAAGAAATAAGTCATCTGAATGCTCAGTTCCTTTCTGGAGTGAAGCTTGATATTTGTTCAACAGTATCAGTAGTGCTAGATATTCTATATTATTATGTTTAAAGACGTGTAATTTAAAACCTAACATAATGCAACAAAGAAATAAATCTTGGTGTTATTGCTAAAATTGTAATTATTCTGTGCAGGGTAATACATGTTAAGAACCTCTACAATTTTCCACCTCCTTCTCATCACTTGGACCATGACCAGGTTATCTCCTGCATGCGTAAAATACAGTCTTGTTAATTTTCACACAGAACTAGCATCACTAATAGGAAAGAGACAGAAGAAAAGTCAAGAAAAACTTAGATTCACTTCAAGAAGCCTTAAATCAGTATACAAGAGACATGTACTGCATCATCGGTAGTTGTAACTAGCTGAGGAAAGGCATGCCATTTTCATTTCATTAAGATGTCCTTGTTTTAACATGTTATCTTACCTCTTTCCTGCCCTTCCCCAATTATCTTATCAGCTATTCATTGCAATAGATAGAACACTGTTCCAAGATTGTTTTGTGCTAACCTTGAGTTTGGCAGCGAGTCCAAAATGATTACTCCATCTACACACATAAGCCAAAGACCAAATTCAGACTTACAAGGACAAGTGAGTAGGAGCATTTGTCTACTAAGTTGTAGATGTCCAATTCTGGCAAAACAACAGCTGTGGTGTTTTTTACACATTCTTTACAGCTACAGTGCTTTGTTTCCTACCTTAAGGTCAGATTCTTAGAATAAATGCCACAAAAATTATTTAAAACAAATCATACTGCATGGGAGTTATTCACAGTTTCAGAAGATGTATGACTAGGAGCCACATGGCGTACTGATCTATACTTAGGAGTTTATCCTGACACAGCTTTTTTTTCATTGTAACACCACTTGTTAAGAAACACAGCCTATTCTAGAGCTGGGGTTTAAAGTATTTGGATGAGGAAACCTTAAGGCATCCTGCTTAAGTTTTTCCCATTTTTTTAAACAGAGATTGTACATTGTTTACCCATGGGCAGAATAACTGCCAGCCAAACACCAAGCTGCTTGTTCTATCATGTTACAGAATATTGTAGTCTTCAAACTCAGTGAATCTACCATCCTATATAAAATGTGGAGTCCCAAACCACAAGTTCTCACACTACACGGGTCTTTATGGGAGCCACAATCTTTAAAGCTAGTCAACAATACTGGCATCATTCAAGGCAAAGACTAAATAGTCCATTCTTTTATTTTAATACAGTAGAATAAGAGCTTTAGAGAGGATTTAGGATTATGTTAAAGACGTAATGCATAATGGAATTACTTGCTGCCACTTCCCAAAGTGAAAGTTTGTTTTGATGTTTAAGTACATTTAGGAGTTGATAGTTTCATTCTTAAATGCCCCTTCATCTACTAAATCAAGCAGCACATACCAGACGGTACTTTGAATACAATGCAAGTAATAGAATTCACATCGTTAAATTTACACACCCATTCTGTTCATTAGAATGGCAGAAGCACAAATGAGTTACCTTGGGAGAAGCATGCTATTTTGTAATTAAGGCAATTTGTTTCTGAGGGGGAAAAGACAACTGGAAGAGCTCAGGAACATGCAATAAAACCCTAACTCCTACCCCTAGAGAAAGCAAGAACTGAAACAATTTCACCGCTTCTAAATTAAGAATTTGCTTTGCATCCATTTTTCTACATTGTTAAGTACCTATAAGCCCTATAAAGAGCATATTTTAAGAGATGTGCAATATATACGTGTTCAGATACAGAAGGAAAACAGTTGATTTACATTTCTCTTAGTTACAATACTAGAAGCACGCTGCATTTTCTGTTGTCAATTTATGTGAAGTAACAGCTAAGTAACTGCCACAGACACGCATTTTTCCTTTTCACCATGAAGATGTAAACAGAGAGGTTTTTAATAATGCAAACTGCGTACGTGCAGATCTTAAGATCCTTGGTTTAGTAAATCTGATCAGTTGTACTGGTGTTTAACAGCTCCATCAGCAATCTCTAAACCAAAATAAGACTTCAATGATAGGTCTTCTGTGATCTTAAACAGCCCTCACTTACCAGCACTTCTCCACAATCTCTTCTGACAGTGTTACTATAATTGAGAAAAAGATAAAAACAGTACCAAAATCTCTCTCTTCTACTTTTTCATAACCCATCTAACTAAATGATTCAGAGACTTTTCAGTCTAAAAATAAGCCTGTTCTTTTCAACAGCAAAAGGCATTAGTGCAAGACATATAAGGAAGCCTGGCTGAAGTTTACTTAACTGTAGAATTAAACCCTTAAATTTTTACTTATCTTCATATTTCCCACTCCATGTTCAGACTACCGTCTGTTCTGTTAAAGTGAGTAACAGCAAGATGTAAAAAGAACAGTCATATAAAAGAATTCTTTTCAAAAGAATGTGTGCTTTGCAGCACAATATGGACGTTGCAGAAGGAGGATGGCTGTTCCCATCCTTAAAAGAATTCCATGAGCATTCTGTTTTCATGAACAGCATGCCAGAAAAGCCCACCTCCATTGTCAAGGCAAAAGCTTACGGTGGATATGAAGACTGTCAAAGTTTTTCCAAAACTCTACCCTAATTTTAAGTTTCAAAGACTGGCTGACAAGGACTACATGCTTGTTTCAGGGTGCTTCCTAAAGTTTTGCAACCTAGGTTTTCTCATAAACCTACTCCTCAGTTTTTCAATGTGCACTGATTGTTTGTGTTGTAGAGAGTTTCATGAGGCCTTGATAAGCAATCTTACTAATCTGTTTACATACATTGGTATTCCTTAGTCTTAGAAGGAAGAGTATCTTTCAGACTCCAAGAATAAAGTGTAACAGAACATTTAAAAAACATTCCTGTAAGGAATTTCTTCTTTGCATTTCAACTTGCCCATCAGTTTATTTTCCTCCTTTCCCTTTTGGCAAGGCTATCAGTCACTTCCCTTGAGGCTTCTAGAGAGAGAATCCCCCAGAAAGAGATTGTTCAAATATTGGGAGAGCGTTAACCAACCCTCAAAATGCACAAACCTCTAGAATGGAATATGGTTTCTTACAAGTTCACAGCAGAGCGCCAAAGGGTGATCATTTCACTCATTTTCATTAAAAAATGAAAATAAAGAAACATCAGTAAGGCAAGAAGTCAGTTACTATATATTGTGAAGTCTGTTTGTAGGTCTTCTACCCCGTAAACCAACATAGTAAAAAACATTGCTAAAGTGTCTTCAAATTTTCAACTCCCTTCCCTTTGACATCAAACTACGGTTTCAGGATCTTATTTAAATGGATTGATTTATATCCTAGAGCCATGAGAACATCTATTTCAAGCAGAGAGTACCTAAATACAGCTTTCAAACAGCTATTCTATAGTCAAAGCATACAATTAGAGAGACCTACTCCTGCCTCAAAAAAAAGTCTGCCATCAGATGCCTGATCTCGGTGTGAAAACTGCTTAGCTAGGAAGAGCTTTCAAAACTAACTTTCTTAATGGTTTGTAGTACAGTAGCACCTACCAATCCCAAGAATTAATGTACTTGAATGTAAAAGGCAAAAGCATAAGGCTGGAGTGTGTTTGCAGGAAGCCACTTGACAGCTTTGAGCTGGCCTTTTAAAACGAACTCAGGATTAGTAACAGAAAGTAGAACTAAGTAAATACCAGTGGTAAATGCCACTAAGCTCTTAAGGAAATTGCACATTCTTTCCGTATCATGTCTGTAGATCTTTAGTCCGATTATACTTTGTGTATTCCTGTGACTTCCTCCACTGTGAAATAACGTTTACCTCTTGCATATAGCGTTTAAGACCTATTGAGAGACTGACATACAGGAGCTAGATACTTATCATTCTGATGCATAGTGGAGTTATTTGTATATTTTAAGAAGAAAGCTTACAAAGTTTTTCATAATGGAGCTGCAACTAATCGAGCACAGCTACGTTTACATCGACTGGAAGCCCGTACAAAAAGGGCTCAACAGGGCACAACATAGCAACCCACCCCGATGCTCCCAGCACCCACTTATTTCCAGCGCCGACCCTGAACGTCCTGTCAAGGCGCAACTTTTCGGAGGAGAGCCGCTTCTCTCCCTCCCTCCCTCCCTCCCGGGCGGTCAAGTGAATTAAGTTTGCAGAGTTACGTAGGAGGCATTGGGCGTCAGATACAATTACTCACCCACTGCATCATAATTACTGCAAATGGTCCATTAAAGGAAAATTATCATCAATATGATATTATCAGACAGCGGGTAAATGAATAAAGGAAAGTGCTTATTCTTCCATTGTCCTGTTAATAGAGACGTCTTTGAAATTGATAATGTGAAGGATGCCACCTCACTGGGGACTGTGGGCCAGCAGCATGTGGAGGGGAACTGTGGGTGATGGCACAGAAACAGGACCCACCTTTTGGGATGGAGGTGCAAATGCAGATGTGCACCTTTTTCATCTGATTGTCCAAGAAGTGGACAAGGAGAATAGACTGGGACTCCTGGGCAAGGTACCATCTCTGTTCAGGACACCCTCACACCCTTCTGCCCAAGGGATCCAGCGCAGCAGCTGGTGCTTTAAACTCAGTGCCAACAAACTTTAAGTGAGCTGAACCCAACTGAACATGCAAAGCCAGGCCAGGGTCAGATCATCAGCCTGCCCTTGCTGTTAGGAGGCTTTTCTTCAACAGCTATATCTGGGACC